CAGTGAATGTCGTACAGTAATAACTAGATCAGCCATACTAACACTAGTTGACATTGATAAGTAAAACAGTGAATGTCGTACAGTAATAACTAGATCAGCCATACTAACACAAGTTGACATTGATAAGTAAAACAGTGAATGTCGTACAGTAATAACTAGATCAGCCGTAGCAACACCAGTTTACACCAGTAAGTAAAACAGTGAATGCCGTACAGTAATAACTAGATCAGCCATACTAACACTAGTTGACATTGATAAGTAAAACAGTGAATGTCGTACAGTAATAACTAGAACAGCCGTAGCAACACCAGTTTACACCAGTAAGTAAAACAGTGAATGCCGTAAAGTAATAACTAGAACAGCCGTAGCAGCACCAGTTGACATAGGTAAGTAGAACAGAAAACTGGTACAGAAACAATCAGACGATATACAACACTATCTTATATGTGTAAAGAAGTGCATATAAATGGACCAGTATTTCCATGTATACCATACAAATATACTCAACTGGGCCAGTATGTCCACGTATACCATATAAATATAGTCAACTGGGCCAGTATGTCCATGTATACCATATAAATATAGTCAACTGGGCCAGTATGTCCATGTATACCATACAACTAAAGATATACTGGTCCAGTTGACTGGCTCAGTTTACTTTATTTATATGGCATACGTGGGTATATTGGCTCAGTTGACTTTAGTTGTATGGTATACGTAGTATGTCCATGTATACCATACAACTAAAGTCAACTGGACCAGTATATCTACGTATACCATACAACTAAAGTCAACTGAGCCAATATACCCACGTATGCCATATAAATAAAGTAAACTGAGCCAAAGAATGCTGTTTCATTTGCCTCACTATACTAGCTCAGTTTACTTCATTTATATGGTATAAGTGCCTATACTGGCTCAGTTTACTTTATTTATATGGTATAAGTGCCTATACTCAAGAAAACAATCGTAACATCACAGTTAACTGAACAGACTATAAGATGACAGTATAAACTATGATTCTGAGATTATAACATGACAGTGTAAACTATGATACTGTGACCATAAGATGACAGTATAAACTAGGTCACAGTATCATAGTTTACACTATCATGGTATAATATCAGAATCATAGTTTATACTGTCATTTTATGGTCACAGTATCATAGTTTACACTATCATGGTATAATATCAGAATCATAGTTTACACTGTCATCTTATGGTCACAGCATCATAGTTTACACTATCATGGTATAATATCAGAATCAATAAGATGACAGTATAAACTATGATACTGTGACTATAAGATGACAGTGTAATCTGTGATACTAAGACTGTAAGATGGCAGTATAAACTATGATACTGTGACTATAAGATGACAGTATGATATTTTATGATACTATAAGTGACTGTAAAATGACAATATAAAAGTCTATGATACTATAAGTAACTATTTACTTTCATAACAATGATTAGTAAGCTAATATAGTACATTCTTAATGTGTGACAAACGATTAACATTCTCAGCTTTAGAGTACAAAACATTAGCATCTCTTCTAAAGTATTTCCTAACTTTTGTAGTGAATTTCTCTTCTTTGCTAGAATCTTTATCCAGGATGATTGGTGAGTCGTGCGACAGCCGAACTTGCCAATTTGGGGCCACATGTAGAGAGGAGCACGGTCAAGAACAATGCGTATGTGACTTTAAATGTCTGTCGTCCGAATCTAAGCAAACTCTCTGTGGAAGTGATGGTAATACCTATGCCTCTGATTGTCAGATGCAACTTTTCAGCTGCCGGTATCAGAAGTTATTGACAGTAACCAGCACAGGTCCTTGTAAACACGGTAATGATAATGTTTATCTTCTGATGGTAATGCTGTTCTAGTTTCAAAACTGGTAACTTTTACACAATGTAGAATGTGAAATTATGTCGTAGTTTTGAGATGCCATGTATTTCTTTATAGGTTCAATTTCAACTCAAACGTTATTTTTTATACCTTTTTATGAAAATTAATTTAAAAAAAATTAACAAATATTTAATAGAACTTTCAAAAAGATTTTCATGAAATATATGTTAGCATGGGGACACAGTTACAAACATAAGTCTTTATTTATTACAAACTACATGGTTTGTTTGTTTGTAGTTAAGCACAAAGCTACACAAGGGGCTATCTCTGCTCTGCCCACGGGGGGTATCGAACCTGAATTCTAGCGTTGTAAGTCCGAAGACATACTGCTGGGCCACTGGGGGCCTACAAACTGCTGACGAACGTGAACTATAAATATATCGATTTTAATTTATTTTGATATTGTCAGATGCCGATATCACGCCAACTGGAATACCAGTTCGACGATCCACTGTACAGAAGTCTACCGGTGATCAATTTGAGTCAAAATCAACACGCGACATCACCCTCAGCCTGTCAAAAAATTTCTTCCGTAGTACTAGACCTACTGCAGCTGCACCAGTTGATACGGGTAAGTAAAACAGAGAATGTCGTACAGTAATAACTAGATCAGCCATACTAACACTAGTTGACATTGATAAGTAAAACAGAGAATGTCGTACAGTAATAACTAGATCAGCCATACTAACACTAGTTGACAATGATAAGTAAAACAGAGAATGTCGTACAGTAATAACTAGATCAGCCATACTAACACTAGTTGACATTGATAAGTAAAACAGAGAATGTCGTACAGTAATAACTAGATCAGCCATACTAACACTAGTTGACATTGATAAGTAAAACAGAGAATGTCGTACAGTAATAACTAGATCAGCCATACTAACACTAGTTGACATTGATAAGTAAAACAGAGA